AATAGCTCTCACCTTCCCCCTCATCCACCTAATTTCATTTAACTGATAATGCTATCACTAGCCAGCTTCTAGCTCAGTGGGCACATTCAAATTGGTAATTTGTAAGTTCACCATACAGAGTCAGGGGATGTTGAGACCCAATCCCTGTCCACCTAATTTCACTCCCAGTGACTGTCTCCCAACCTGGCAAAGACATGCCTCTTCTCCTCCCCACTACAACCCTGCTGTTTTAACCAGGGTTCTCACCAAATCAAAGATCTCCTGCAGGCCCAGATAAGTCTGTCATAATAGTCTCCCCTAAACCCCAGACTGGCCCAGTCCCCAGGACATTAACCCCTAGGTGAATGACCAGCATGTCATGCACCCTGAAAATGCAAGACAGCAAAACCAGATCCAGGAATAGCTGAACCCACTTCATGCCTTTAGTACCACACCAATGAACCTCTGCTGCAGAAGACCTGAAACTCAATAACTGCCGCACGACATCTGGATCTGAAAATGCCATTGGGGGAACCTGACCTGAGAAAAAAACCCCATAAATGATGGATACGTGCAGGACGAACATATGAAACAAAGTCTCAGAGTCTGGAATCCCACCACACGATCCTCTGGACCACCTGTTCTGACATGCCAAGCCTAGAGACCTCCATTGCAGCACCAATACAAAAGGAGTGCCCCTCATATTACTTGCTGTTCAAAACTTAAAATGTCAAGCCCCATGTGAAAGATCATAATAAATAGGTAAATGCTTAGTATGTTCATCTTTCTCTGTGTCCAACATTACTGCTAGGCAGTTTCAGGAACAGAAGCCGGGTCCTGTACGAAGATCATTAGAGAGGAGGTGAGCCTACTCCCCACATTGGGATGCAGCCGAGGTAAGTGAACACCGAGGGGGGGAAGGGAACCAGTGAGAAGGACAAAGGGGACAGAAGAAACAGAAGGAAACACAGAGGACAAATCAAAAGGAACAGGAAGGTGGACAATGAGGAACAAAGGGAGCACCAGGAGGGACAGGAAGCATGGAAGGAGCAACCTGAGATTTGGTGTGGGATAGGGAGCGCAGGGACGTGGGACCAACTGGACCTCTCCTTATCCACAGAGGAGACCCAAGCACCTGGAGAACCTCATCCCACCCCCAATGGCACTACTGGAAAAACAGCCTCCATTTCCATGCCCTCAAGATACAGCACTGGCCCAGGACAAGAAGCTAGAGAGGTTGCTGGGCCAATATTTAAGTTTCACTAAGGTAAGAAAAATTTGCTACAGTTCACACATACTATAAACACTCCCACACTCACATACACAACCAATAAAAAGCATCCATACCCACACTCATACACGTGCCATCTCCCCAGGGCATGTTCAGCTTCCATGACCCTAAATTTGAAATTTACTTTCAATTCATTTGAATTCTTGATTAATCCTGTGTATTTTTTTTTCTTTTTATCTCTGGGTAATTACATTTGCTCAGAAGTTTGAGAGCACAATATACTAGCCATTAAAAAGAAAAAATATGTGAAGTATAAAGAACAAATATCATTTTAGGTGTTTTAAGGAACATTTAGTTTTCCTACGTGTAAGTTTATTCAACTTTTTGTTTTGATGAGCTGTTCATTTCTTTGTGAACATTTAAGTGTTTCTTAATATTCTTATAACAATTGCAGTAAATCAAGCATGCAGATGAACTAATTGGGAATGCTGATTGACATCTGAACAGAGATAAAAACAACCACTTTTTACTGATGTGCAAAATGAAATATGCAGTATAAGTACTCAATCCAGCGTATTTTTTACTTCCAATTCTACCAGAAGCATACTAAGTGGTGGGGATTTGCCACACCAGTTTACACATTGGAAGGGGTTCACACATTGGAAGGAGGTTCATAGGTTCATAGATAGACCATAGAGGATAAGGTCTATCTATATTATACAATGGGAGTGTGGAAGAGGGGAAGACTCATGGGGAGTAATAGCCCCAACAGGGGGGAAGGGAGGGAGGGGGAGGTAGTAGACATAGCAGAATGTTTTGAGGCATGAGGCAGCACAAACTCAAAAGGGATTTAATAAGCACAACATGGGACATAGGAGACACAAGAGGGAGTTATGAGACAAGGGAGCATACAAGACAAAAGGGGCATGAGATACTAGGTGGAATAAAAGATGCAAGAGGGCATAAGAACTACAAAATGCAAGTAATAGATGCATGGGAGCAAAGGGAGAAAGACACAGGGGGACAAAAAAAAATCAGTTAAATCATAAAAGGGGGATATGAACACAAAAAAAAAGATGTAAGAAACACAAGAGGGGGTAAGAGATAAAAAGGGCACAAAAGACACAAGGGGACATAAGAGACAATTTGGGGTGGGGTGACAACATAAAGGTTTGTCCCAGGTATTAGGTAACCTAAGCAACCTAAGCTGTCAAAGTTTAGCAAAAAGACCACAAATTAACTTGATCACAGCAGACACTCCATAAGGCGGTAACCCTAGTTGTTAGAAATCCACACAAAAAGAAAAAGTTAGAGTATGCTATTGGGGTTTATTGGGTACATATAGTGAGTTGAGATGACACCTGGATGTTCGGGTCCGGCAGGTTCGGCCGAACTTTGAAAAAAAGTCTGGGTTCGTGATTGAACTTGACCTCGAACTTGACCCCGAACCCCATTGAAGTCAATGGGGACCCGAACTTTTGGCCACAAAAGTGCCTCTAAAAAAGTCCTGGAAACAGCCATAGAGGTAGACTATATCTGCCACTCAGCAGCTCACAACAGCTACTCACATATAGACAGGTTCCTTATTCCTGCCACTTCCCTGCCTCATATAGAAGAATCTAACATCGGGGTAATGTCGTGGTCTGACCACGCTCCCATAACTCTTAGCGTCAGAGAAACATTTACTAACAAAGGGTCTGGCACGTGGAGGTTTAATGAATCCCTTCTCGCAGACTCTTCCATACTTTCACAGATAACTACAGACCTACAAAACTACTTAATCGAAAACACAACAGAGAACTCCTCCATTGACCAAATTTGGCTGGCACATATACAGGACAGCTTTATAAAGCATGCTAGCCGCGCAAAAAAAATGAGGATGGCAGAATACACTTCACTGTTAACAGAAATTACAAATCTGACACACTCTAACAAACGAGAGCCTAAGTCCACTACTTACACAAAACTGCTAACTCTCCAAACTAGGTTAAAAAACATTGAGCTAGTCAAAACTACGTATTCCCTTCGTAAAGCCAAACATAACTTCTTTGCAAATGGCAACAGGGCAGGTGCTAAACTAGCATCGCAATTAAAACGTAAATGTGTCGTAAAGGTGTCACCTCCAGGATTGCCTTCCTAACTGATTCCAAGGGAAAAAAAACACTGAACCCTCAAGACATTGTAGACATGTTTGCAGTCTATTACAGTGAGTTGTACAATCTCAAAGATGACCCCCAACATAGCCTTACCCACCCACGAAGGTATTGACAAATTCCTTGCAGACCTACACCTGCCTACGTTAACAGAGGAAGATCTAGACCTCATACAACAACCCTTCTCCCATAATGAGATAACAACAGTAATATCACAACTCCCTGCCTGCAAATCCCCGGGCTCCGACAGACTAACAAATGCATACTATGCATACTACCTTCTCCACTACCATCACCCTGCACCTTCTCAATCTTCTGAACCACTGTGCCTCAATGGGCGCACTACCAGATGAAATATTATTGTCCCATATATCCACCCTCCCTAAACCGGGCAAACCTCCTACCCAGTGTAAAAAGTTTAGGCCCATTTCCTTACTTAATGGTGATGCCAAGATTTTCGCTAAACTCATTAGCAACAGACTCGCCCCCCTTCTCCACAAAATGGTTTATAACGACCAATCATGGTTCATACGGGGCCGCCAAGGCTCTGACAATACTAGAAAAATCTGGAACATCCTGTCGGCACTAGAGACCGGGGAGTCGAGGGGGCCTTTCCCTGCACTTGATGTGGAAAACGCCTTTGACCGCTTAAATTGGGCATATATGACCAAAGTCTTGTCCAAGTTTGGCTTCTCTACACCCAGTATAAGGAGCATCATGGCACTATACAGCAACCCAGCAGCAAGGGTCTCCCATGGGGGCTTTCTGTCCATGCCCTTCCCCATCACTAATAGGACTCGCCAGGGTTGCCCCCTATCACCCCTTTTGTACATACTAGCCCTTGAACATTTGGCCTGCAAAATGCGTTCACACCCCATGGCAAAACGTATAGTCTAGCACTATTCGTGGATCACATCTTTATAGCCCTGTCGGACCCAGCACACTCCCTCCCCCCCTTGTTAGATCTCCTACGAAACTTTGGTGAAGTTTCATACTATCTATTAAAACAGGACAAGACCCAGGCTCTCCCTATTAATCTACCAAAAACTTTGATGTATTCCCTCCGCACCTCCTATCCATTTGATTGGAGATCAACCTCCCTCACATTATTAGGGGTAAAAATAGCACCCTCCTTATCAGCTACCTTCAAACAAAACTATAACCACTTGCTGACACTTTGCAAAACTGAAATGAATAAGTGGAAACATATGTTGCTTTCCTGGGTAGGGAAAATTAAAGCTTACAAAATGATGATTTTTTCCCCCGTATTCTTTATGTTTTTAGGATGCTCCCACTTGGGGTTCCCTAACACTACTGTAAATCACTACAGAAACTATGTGGCGCATTTATTTGGGGAGGTAGGAGACCCAGGGTGTCCCTCGCAATTCTGCAGACTGCACCCCGACTAGGGGGAGTAGGCCTTACGAATATCAAAGAGTACCACAGGGCAGTGATACTGTCCAAAGGTATTCTTCTTCATGCCCAACCCGACACGATCCAATGGGTGGACATGGAGAAAGCACAATTACAAGAACAATCCTTAATTGACTACTTGTGGACGCCCAGACAGTTTAGAACAAAAAAAACCTGATCTATTCCCAACTACACAACTCACAATAGCAGTGTTTGATGAATTTATGGGGGCCGTAGGGTATCGGAACACCTTTCACCCTAAATCGCCTATCTTGGCTCTCAGAGCGGTAGTACCAGACACCCTGCTTAAACACTGGCATGAGGCAGGGATCACAAGAATATCCCAACTAATAAATGACGAGGGAATAATCCCATTCCCAGATCTACAAATACAGTGGCAGATCCCAAACTGCGCTATCTTTTCATACCTCCAATTGAAAAGTGTTCTAAATGCACACACGACACTCTCACAAGAGATGCGTGGCTCAGCCTCGGTCACCCCACACTTACTTATAGAAAGATGTTGGGCATCACCTACTAAACCTAAGGCACTCACTCTATGCTATAAATCATGGCAGGAACTCTCACCAAACAAACCACATCCACATAAAGCCCAATGGGAGACAGACTGTGGTGTGACGCTGACTGAGGGGGACTGGCTTCATGCTCTCAATGACCTGTCCAAATGGACTAAGTGCTACTCACATATTGAAGCCCACAAGAAGCTCCTGTACCATTGGTACATGACCCCGCAAAGGCTCCACCGAATATTTCCCACCACATCCCCGACTTGCTGGAGGTGCAACTCAACCACAGGAACATTAATACACCTGTGGTGCTCCTGTGGAGATGTCCAACCCCTGTGGACCACGGTGCGCTTGGTCCTGGACGAACTGGGCATCCCTAGATTTCTGCTAACAAAAACTACCTGCCTATTATTGCTACTCCCTGCTCTCTTGTCTTCATGACAGAAACAAGTCACAGCACTGACTAAGCTAGTGGCGAGAAATCTCATAGCACTACATTGGAAATCACAAGACTGCCCTTCACTGGCCCAGTTATTGGTTAAATTAGCTCAGTTCCATATGTACGAAAAAATGACAATAATGTCCTCCCAAAAAACGAGGGAGTTTACAGATGCCTGGAGGGGATGGGAGAGGGAATTTGGGCAGTGTGGGCAAGGACAAAGTCAAATTCACCACCGGCCCAATACCGCAGCCTAACATAACAACCCCACGCATGGGTACTTGTAAGAACAGGACAAGCTAATGACATACTCATATCCTCCCCCCCCTTGTCCCTAACTGTTTATTTCCTCCATCCCCCCCTCTTGTACCAAGTTCTTAATCCCTAAGTTAAAGAGACACATTCAGATTACCTATTGACAGGTGCAGCACAGGCTACGCCATAGCTCCGCATAATCAGTTGGTTCCCAAACCCGCACACAACAGTAGTGACGTATTGAAACGCTCACAAGTACTGATGATAACACTCCACTGAATCCATCGCAGGAGCTCTATCCAAATAGAGGCTAAGAGCATCCTGATTAGGTGGCTACTTGTGACTGGCATCACCATACTACTGCCGAGAGCAACCAAACAGAGGTGAGTGTAAGCAACTCACTCACGAAGACACTTGAATATTGCTGTATCGATATGAATGCTGAAATATGATTATCTGATGTTGTGTGACAAGTCAACCATTGATGATACACAGATGACGTGTTACCCTAACTAACCCATTCCCCCTTCTTTTCTGTATCCCGAATTACTTGATATAAAACAATAAAATACAAATTTTAAAAAAATAAAGTAGATTAAATTAGAACAAAAAGTATTATAAAATAAAGGGAAAGTGGGACTGTCACCTAAATGTTGCTACATGAACCAACATATCATAGTAACACAAATTATAGTAGATAGGATAGTAACATATGATAGTGACACACATGGAATAGTAGATAAAATAGGAGGGTACTAGTGACTCTTTTCAGTAACTCTGCAAGGGCTACTATTATATTGTTGCCCCTATCTGTGCCTTCGAGGGCACTTATTCTTAGCTTAGTCACTTCCTAAGACTAAAAAAGCACATATAAACTATTATAACTATTGATCCTTCCTGTGCTCGTGTTACGTCTGTCGAGATCTTTACTTTATGGAACCGAATGATCACTCGTACTCCACCTATGGTATACATGTGGTCATTTTGTAATCATTTCGCAGTGTGCTACTTTATTCTTCATTTAGTTGGTGTTCTGGATCTCTGTCTGCCAAAGTGCATGTGAACAGTGGTTGCATTTGTGCAAATGTTCTGTTTGTGTTATATTGTTATAACACAAAAGAGAAGAATAGTCTATACTGCTGTGCTGCTGTAAATAATTATTTATGTTGTATTAGCTTCCTCTTAATGTATGTATTTCTCTAATAAAGTAAGATAAATGCTTTAATTGCCTCTTGTTTAATATTTTATATACCACATTATGAAGCCAAAATTGCATTTTAATTTAAAGTAATTTTTTTTTATCCTCTTTTATTTTTCTGAAAGTATCAGTTGTATCTAGAATACATGATTTAATCTTTGGAATATTAGACTTTCAGAACGACAGCTAATAGGATAAACTGCTGGGTAATCACGACCACAAGTGGGCTTCCTGGGGGATTCTCCAGGGACTTGTGCAACTTCAATAGAATTTAAATCACCAGAGTAATAGCATTCTTCTGCATCTGAACTATCCACAAATCACTGCTAATAATCCCCTCGACAAAAATCGAATTTGTCTTTGAACCTTGCTAGTGAGATCTATAGGACACTTACAAATTACATCCTATTGTGACAGTTGTTTCATGACCCTTGTACCATATTGAGATTTGTAAACAAGCACCACAGCACCACCCGGATCCGCTGGTTTAATAATAATATTGTTTCAAAGATTTTTCCAAGCTGTGTTTTTCATGATATTTGGTACCCATGAATATTTTTCTTTTCTTTTACTCTCTGTACATCTTTCTGTATAGCAGTAGCAAAGGAAAATTAAATTACAGGAACAAAAAACATAATATACTAAACCGCACTGCCAATTTGTTTATATTGAAGAGGAAGGTGCTGGATCCAACCCACTTTACAGTCACCACAGAAAGTACAAAAAATATTCTGCACTCAAAAGTTAGAGATGATCACTTTTTAATAGTAAATATTTAAATGTTCAGTTTGTTTAACCCCAAATTTCTGGAATAAAAGGGAATCATGACATGTCACACATGTCATGTGTCCTTAAGGGGTTAAAGAACATAAAAATACTTAGGATACAGAAACAATATCTGTAATGGATACACCATGGATACACCAACGCAAGAAAACCCACTGGGAGAAATTTAAAAACTACAAAGCCTACCATCTGTCTTGTGCAATTAACATTATAGAGCACAGCGGTGTAATTATTTTGGTGCATAGACTAATGTATGTAGAGATTGTTGTTATATTCACAAAATATCATTTGCAAGTGCTACAATATAGGGATCCTCAAATAACCAAAACAGAAATGCCTGAAACTGCTATACATTGTGTGGGTATATTTACACACAATATGCAATATATATTTGTGCACAATATATAAAAGCTGATATCAGATAACCATATAAAGGCAAAAAAAGAAATGAATCAAAAAAGTTACAAAAAAATCCACCAAAATGCAAGAAATAAAAAAAAAAAAAAAGGTATGCACTGAGCACAAGGAGAGATGTATATCACACAATGCAAAAAAAAGTTGTAGTTGTAAGATGACAAATGGCATAAGCGTGTGTAAAGCAGCATGTTCTCGGAATGTAGTCTGTCCAGGAGGGTGTTGGAACACTGTATCAGAATCCAGAGCAGGCAGTATGCAGTGTGTAGTGGCAGATCCCCAGCAACACAGGGAGTGTCTCGAGCAGCTATGCGTGGGGACCTCCTGGTCTTTTTCAGGACTCAATAGATGGCTCTCAAACCTATCAAGGTCAATGTCCAAGTAAAAAAGATCAAGATAATGAAAGGACAACTGTCAGCTCAAAACATTGTTTTTATGTAATATTCATTTCATAAAGTTTTTTTTTTGTTAATTAAGTATATGTAGAATGAAAAACTCATTCCAGTTTTCAAACACTGTCTCAACCCAAGGTGTGTGTATATTGCCGAAAGATCCTGTAATATACTAAAGGTAGAGGTGAGATTTTTTCCTTTTTTTAACATATACTTAATTTCAAAAAAGGAGAAGGACACTCACTCACCTTTTACCCAGACCTGTGCTCTATGCTTGCTGACACAGGGCCTCTGACCCCATGACACACAATATCAGTGGGGTTTGAAAACAACCTTTCTGGCAACATCTAACCACTCCACAGTCCTTCTTCTAGAAGCAGATGATTTGGGAACTTTTCTCTATACATTTGGAGTGCCACCTGATTTGGTGTCTTTGGATCCTGTGAATACCTTATCATCCCAAACTTGGTATGCCACCAGAATAAGACCGAAGTGGGATTTTAACTCCTGAGTGATCCGGGTTTGTCTACACATCTGTATTTTGTTTTATAGGAAATTGAAAAGGAAATAAATGCAGTGGTTAGATTATGCTGATACCATTCTAATTGTCAGCTCAACAACCAAATCAAGTGTCTCTCTTCTTCCGATGAATAAAAATGAGCTAGAGCGGGGCATAGGTGTAGTTGTGTATTTAATGTTTAATACTTTCTGCATTTTACTTTAACTTATGATAATATTTTGTAGGCTCCAAAGTAGTTTTTAGTTTTCTGTGCATACCTTTTATTTAAGGTTAATGGCTTCATGTGAGCTCAACTACATACCTCCCCTTGCTGTAGTTGACTACTTGTATATTGTCTGATAAGCAGCATAGAGGTGCATTCAGCCTGCTTGGAGCCATCTTCATCTCAGATTGTCACCACTTGTCTCTTAACACATTTCTTGGCATAATTGTGTTCTTCATCTTGATAGTCCTTGACGTATATTAAAATTGTGCAACCATATTCTGATAATATGCATATTTTGTGAAGAGAATATATGTATGCTAGTCCTTTTATAGAACACAACTTGAGTGTGCCTTGATCTCATGGTATTTCTAAAATCAGGGTTTAGTGTGCTATTTGCGGGCGAAAACCTTCTCTGATGTTGGCAAGCTTTTGATCTCATATTCCTTCTCGCAATTTCAGAAGAAATTTTAGTAATTTCCCTCTGCAAGAAATTGATAGTGTAATAATGTCAATACAGCATTTTTTGATGAAAGTGTTGTGAGTGATAGACTTTGCTTGATCTTAACATTTAAAACAACAAAAGCTTACTTTTTCACATAATGACTTCCAGATATCCATCAATTCAGTCTGTGCCATTGTAACCTATATGTAATATTTCATACTTTAAAATTACTCATCTTAAATATAGCGGCACCGTTCTCCAGAACAGTTTCTATCATTGCAATCTTTTACCGCCAGAAGATCTCTTGTCCAGGGCTTTGTCTCTTTCATATATTTTTATATCATTGCCATTTCATGGAATACAGCCTTCTGAAAATTGGCTCAGTTTTCATTCCAACATTAGGACACAGAGTTCTCTTTCATTCTTAGAAATCTTCTCTTTACACAGTGCCAAATCTTTTTATATCACGAACACGTTGTAAATCTTCAAATGTTAAATATCTCCAGCTGTCAATATCCTGTCAATGCTTTACCGTGTACAGACTAGGGAGCGGCACACACAAAAATAAAATACATATTTACATTTTAAAAGGTTACCTAAAATCACCTATCTTAGCAAAAAAATATGGAGATTTAGTTACACCATATGACCATACTGCGTTAAGCCCACCACTATGTCACAGTTTTCCAATATTGGTGGATCCTACACTAAATTTAGCATGGGAGATTGACATCCTAACTGCAATATTTACTGCTTGAACAGTTTCCAAAGACTCCACAATTTATACTGT